GGTCTGGAACTCACTCTCAAAAGCGATGCTGCCCTCGAAGGTCAGACAGGAACCCTTCTGGATGTGGGCGGCGCAGGTCACCAGCCAATCGTGGACGTGTCACAGCTGATCGACGTCGCTCAACTTCGGCCCCGCAACTAAGATAACGGCGTGACTGGAAACGGCACGCGAGAACTCCTTCATCTTGCTGCGGGCCTCGGCTGATGACGTCACCCACTGGATCAAGTCCTCCTCAGTAGCCGCGGCAGTGAGAAGTGGCTGCAGGACAACCTTCCAGCCAGATGCGACGAGCCCGAGGAGCGCGTCGGTCGGAGTGACGACGGACAACCAGGAAGGCCGAGGAGCGAACTCAGGCAAGCATTTGGGCACATCAGTCATCCAACTCGCGTGCACATCTCTCAGCGCGTGCAGGAGGGCCTCGCATTTGGCCGAGTCCTCCAGGAGGGGGGCCGACACTGCGTTGACGGCCTCGGCGAACCTTTCGAGGTGATCCGAGAAGGAGCGCAACGACGTCTGCGTGAGCTTAGCCTTCTCTACGTGCGCGCAAGCGTTGCGAAAGATGCTGTCCCCAACCGGCCACGGCTTCAAAGTTGATCCTAGCGCTGTGCCCACGGATGTCTTAGATGGGATCACCTCCGCGATGTTAGCCACTGCGTCATTAAGTATGTCAATGCGCTCATCGAGGTCAGGCAAGTTCGCGTAGTTCAGCACCACTGAGAAGGACAATGCGAACGAAGTCGACGCCTCCTCGAGGTCGTTGTCGAAGTCCTAGTTGAACAGGCCAATCAGGTTCTGCTTCACCACCTTGATGTCCCTGCCCTTGAGCAGCGACGCGAACCTTTCGGCGAGCAGACTCTCCTGCTGGGCGGCCACGTTGCCGACCCCCTTCAACTTGAGCTGGGTGGAGCTAGTGCGATCGAGCCAACGACGGTGGTCCTCAGTGGCACGCACGTCCATGAGGTGCCTGGCGATGCCGACGTGGCCCGGGAGATGCAAGTCCATCCTCGGCTCCAAAGAGATGTCGGTCATAATCGTGTCGAACTCTTTCTTGAAGGCTTCCAAATTAAGACCGCGCTTGTCAGCGGCATCGACCACGCCAATAACGGCCCCCAGCAATTTGTGAGATACCCGAAGCTTTTCGATCACACTCATGTCCGTCGCCTTTTTCAGCCTCGCAGCCACGTCTTTCTCCTGCCCCCGCAACGTCTTCAGCTGCGTCTTGGCCTCGCCGCCCCACCAGTTGACGTCAGTCGGAGTTGTCTCTGAAAACTCCTTATGGACCTTATCGACCACCTCCTGCCAAGTCGTCGTGGGCCGCCCTCGCTTGCCGCCACTCGCGCCCTTGGCGGCCTTGGGCTTGGGCGGGGCCCTTGTCTTGCCCTCGCCCGCTTCCTGGGCATCGTCCGCCTTCGCCGCCAGCTGGCGGCCGCCTGCGCCCCTGGAAGTAGACGACTGTGCGGAGCCTGCCGCCGGCTGCCCCCCCTTCACCTCGGCCCGGGGAGACCCCCGCGGAGCGGGCGCTGGCCCCGAGGAAGCGCTGGCCCGTCCGCCCTCAGCAGGCACGGTGAGCAGGGTGTCGACCACGTGCTGAGTCGCGAAGTTGCCGCCGAAACCCGGAACCATGGCATCTGCCAAGTGACTTTGTCGAATATCCAAGAAGCCTGGGTTCACGTCGTCGGCGCTGCTGCCTGCTTTTTGCCGCTTCTCCACTCCGTGCTAATCGTTGAACTCCACCCTGGTCGCCTTCCTGTCGGGCACGACGATCACGTCCTTGCCCAGCTCGTTTTTGTCTTTGTAGTGGCCGAGTCGCTTCTTGCCGTTGGTCTCAAGGGAACCGAACTCATCCTCGAAATCCTCTATCTCATAAATAGAAAGGCCTTGCTTCTTGATCACTGTCTTCAGCGAATGGACGATGAAGAGCTCGGCATCATGTTGGACCTTCTCCCAATCCAAATGGACGTTCCGCTTTCCACCACGTTCGACGATGCTCTTGACCGTCTCGTTCACCATGGCCAGGTGAAGCTTCATGCGCTTGCTATCCTTGCCCAGATCGGAGCAGTACTGCGCGATTGTGTAGGACCCAACCTGCCTGAACTTCGCGCAGAAAATCTTGACGCAATAGAAGCAATACTGGCCCACCGTCTTGCCGTCCTTCGGGGGCTTGCCCCACGCCATGCATTGCTTCGCACTGTTGACCTGCAAGTCAACTGGGTCCCAGTCGTCGTCGAAGCGAATGCAGAACATGCACTTGGCGTGGCCTGGCTTGCGGTCCTGGTCCTTGTCAAACGCCAGCTGGGCCGGCTCATTATCGTCGGCGCGGCCCGCGCCCCCTGGCCCTCTCCTGGGCCGCCCGCTTCGGAGGAGGCCCTGGCCATGTAGCAACGCCAAATCTCTCTGCGCGTTCGGGCCATTCTCGCCGCCCATCTGCGTGAGAGGACGTCGCCGCGCGGACCCGTGCGACTCGGCGCCCGCAAACTGAGTGTGCTCGCGGCAATGCCAGAAACACTGATGACCAAAATTGCTTCGGCTAGTCGTGCACTCTATTTCTCTCTCTCTCTCTCTCTCTCTCTCTCTCTCTCTCTATTTCTCTCCATCTCTCTCTCTCGCTCTCTCTCTCTCTCTTGGGGGTCGGCGCTAACTTGAACGGGCGGCCCGACGCGGCACAGGCGGGGGCGCCTGTTCGACGCCCGCCCAGCGCCCGCAGGTCGACGGGCCACGGGCCCTGGCGACGAGCTTCGGAGGCAAGGGCCCCCTGGAACAACCCCGAAGACATGAACAGGAGAAGGCTGGGGTCGGGCCCTCAGGAGATGGCAGCGCCAACAGTTGGGCATCGCTCATGGACTCATGGCCCGCTCATTAGTCTGACTACCCACTGCTGACTACTTTCTGTCTCTGTCTCTGTCTGTCTGTATGTCTGTCTGTCTGTCTGTCTGTATGTCTGTATGTTTGCCTGTCTCCCTCTCTCTCTCTCTCTCTCTCTCTCTCTCTCTCTCTCTCTCTCTCTCTCTCTCTCTCTCTCTCTCTCTCTCTCTCTCTCTCTCTCTCTCTCCCTCTCTCTCTCTCTCTCTCTCTTCTCGCCCGCGCTGGGATTTCGGTTGGCGGGCGCGACCTCGCACTGGGCGGAACGAACGGGCGGCCCCATTCTCACCCGCTGCCCCTCCTGGGCGCTCCACTCCGCGAGGAAGGAGGTGCGCCATCGCTCGGAGAAGGGATGGAGGGCGGCAAATGAAGACGAGGAAAGACAAGGCGCGAGCATCGGTGGGGGAGGCGAGGACGCCAGCTCAGGAGGCGGGCGCGCGCGGCCCGGGGCAGAGCAGGCGGGGCAACAGAGCAGGAGCCCCCCCACGATAGACGATGGACGAACTCCCTTTGGCGATGGGCGATAGACGACGGGCGCAGGAGGAGAGAGCGGGGGGGCAGAGGAAGGGGGGGCGCGAGGTTCTTGCGGGCAAGAGCGAGTGAGCGAGTGAGCGAGGGGAAACGTAGAAGGGAGCGATGTAGGATGGGCAGGGCGAGGGCGTGAGAGGGGAAGGAGGGGATAAGACAAGGCTGAAGCGGCCCCAAGACCACGTGACCACGCGAGGAGGAAGACGTGGAATGGTCGTGGGGCGCTGGCCCCTCGCACAACGCGGGCAGGGTACCCTCGCGGGGCGGCGCCAGGACGGAATCGGACTACAATCCTGCCAGCCCTTCAAAGCGCAAGTGGTTGAACGAGTTACGTTGCCACCCCCATTCCTCCCCTGGGGGCGCGAGGTGTTAGAGCGCCCCGGATGACCTAGATGGCTCTCAGAAGGCCCCATGAAGCGGGAGATTGCCTCCAAGCTGGCTCAAGTTAGCGCAAGATCGCTCAGTATGTGGCTTCCAAAGGGCTCCAGTGCGCCCAGAGACCGCTGGCGGGCCCCTGGGGCCTTCCCAAGATGGCTCCAGGGGGGCGCCAAGAAGATCAACCAAGAGCCCTCTCGGGGCCCTCGGCCGTCTCGGGGCCCTCTTGGAGCGCCGATTGCATCTCCGCGCCCAGCGCCCAGTCGAGCTACATGTTTGTTAACGGGCTTTCTTAATGCGCGTGTAGATAGGGCCGTGAACAGCCCAAAATCGAGCGTCAAAATTTTTAAAAATATTGACGCCTGTTTTTGGCCTACAATCCCCCCCTCGGGCCTGGGGTCCGATGGCAGATGGTCGCTTTGGTGTCCGAGGGCGGGCTGGCTTCGGGCCGCCGCCCATGGGTTGGACATGGGGTGCGCAGCGTGTCCAACCCATGGGCGGGAGCGAGAACAGCACAAAACCGAGCGTCAAAATTTTTAAAAATATTGGCGCCTGTGTTTGGCATAGAATCCCCCCCCCTCGGGCCTGGGGGTCGCTTTGGCATCCGAGGGCGGGCTGGCTTCGGGCCACCGCCCATGGGTTGGACATGGGGCGCGCAGCGTGTCCAACCCATGGGCGGGGGCGAGAACAGCACAAAACTGAGCGTCAAAATTTTCAAAAAAAAAAAAAAAAAAAAAAAAAAAAAATGACGCCTGTTTTTGGCTTAGAATCCCCCCCCATCGGGCCTGGGGTCCGATGGCAGATGGTCGCTTTGGCGTCCGAGGGCGGGCTGGCTTCGGGCCACCGCCCATGGGTTGGACACGGGGTGCGCAGCGCGCCCAACCCATGGGCGGGAGCGAGAACAGCCCAAAATCGAGCGTCAAAATTTTTAAAATGTTAACGCCTGTTTTTGGCCTAGAATCCCCCCCCATCGGGCCTGGGGTCCGATGACAGATGGCCGCTTTGGCATCCGAGGGCGGGCTGGCTTCGGGCCGCCGCCCATGGGTTGGACATGGGGTGCGCAGCGTGTCCAACCCATGGGCGGGAGCGAACTCACCCCAACTCACCCGGGCATCGTGTCTGGATGGGCAGGTGGCGATTCAAGGAGTGTCGGGCATAAGAGATATGGCTTCCGTGTCTTCCTACCATCTCACTCAACATGTAGAACGCCGCGCGAGTCGCCCCCCCGGCCCCTGGGACTACGCGAGCTGAACGCTGAGGGCGGGCCCAGAAAAGTGCGAGGGCTGGTCGGGCTTATCACTGCCGCTGCTGCATGAGCCAACGCTGACTGGAGGGCCTGCACCCTGGCCAAGGAGGCCATCGTCATCGAAGTCCGCAGCATCTCTTGCATCCTCCATCTCCGCATCGTCGTCGTAGGCCGCGGCGTACATGCCGCATGTGCTCACCATGGCGGCCCACCATGGCCCATAATGCCAGAACGAGAACGCATTCCCACACATATTCGAGATGGTATCTATCTGGCCCTCCACCATGACCTCGTCGCTGACGGCCCACTCGGAATCGGGCCACCCGACGAGACGCATGAGTTCAAACACCTCCGCAAGCCGAATCGTGCTCTTGCCATTCTGCGTGAAACGAACGAGGAGCGCCATGCTTCCCGTCAAGGTTGGGGGCGATGGGCGCCACGGGCCATTGTTGGTGCCCGTGTCATTGCCATCGGTGGTTTCCTCCGGCTTCAGCGTCTCCTCATTTACATACTGTCCGAAGATCCTGGTGGAGATTGGGTTGATGTCCATGAAAGAGCGCTTATCGTCGGAACGTGGCGGAAACAGCACGTGCGCAAAGAAAGCCACCTCTGCTTCTCGAGGATACATACCTCCGTTCACGAGCTCGGCGTTGCACGAGGAACTGTGATGCGTGTCGTTCTGCTGGAGCGGCCACGTCAAGTTGTTCGCCTCGAACAGCTTCTTGTGATCCACCTTCCAGTCGGGGCTCGCCTTGCCACACTTGGAAGACCGCAGCGGACACGCCTGGTACGACGGGATATTCACCATATCCGCCTCGAGCGAGCGGCTCTCGTCGCACCACGTGAAGCACTCGTCCAGGGTTGTCTTGGCCCCGGGCTTGAAGGACCCCAAGATGGCCATGAAGTAGTGCTCCACATCGGCAGGCTTGCCGGTGATATTCGACAGCGCTGCCCAGTATAGCCTCTCTCTCTGAATTGGGCTGCCCCAGTCCGTAGCCTGCGTCGCGTGGAAGAGCGACCAGTCGCCCATGGCGCGCAGCTCCTGGCATATGTACTCGGCGCCCGACAGCGCGTTGGCATCGGCCTTCTGGGCCAACTGGGTCGCGCACTCCAGGAGGATCATGGACGGGAAATGCGCCTTAGCCGCGTTCTTCACATCATCGAAGCCAATGCCGGTGGCTCCCCGCTTTTCCTGGACACAGTTCTGGTTCGCCGAGCTGTCGATGCTCATCGGCGCGCGGGAAACGCAAGGAATCCCGCCGTCGAGCAGCCCGCAGAAAGGCAACACCTCTGGGGGGGCACCGTCCTTGACCACATTCGGGGCCGAGTGTTCACTCAACGAGTTGGTGTCTGCAACGATGAGCTTCGGGTTGAACTGTCTGGTCAAGAATGCCTGCTTGTCCTTCTCGATCTCGCAGTGCAGGGAGTCGTCGATGCACAGGTTGACGCTGTTGCGGTTGGCCCAGACTACACCGAACGCCTTCATGATCTTTGTCGAGAGGCCAGTCCCTGCGAATAACGACCATTTGGCGATCGTCTTCTCTGGCAAGATCGACTCCGAGCGCCTCAGACCGTGAACGAATTTGACCTCTGCGGAAGAATCGAGGGAGTCGTGCCACAAGGCAATCTGCTGCTGCATCCGCGTGGTCGGCTTCGAAGATACAGCCATAGGCACTCTCCAGGGCGAACTCGGGCATGGGCCGAGCTCCCTCCTCGGCGTCGCCGCCTCGGAGCGTGTCGCGACGGGGCCGCCGCCCAGGAGGGCGGCGCATGGCACCTGGGGAATCGAAGACACAATATCTTCACCAACTGTGCGATCTTGCAAATGATTCACGCATATGTTGTACCATGCTATCTAATAATATTTAATCAGTGGCTGGGAAAAAGAAATCAAATTACCACAACTTATCCGTAATACATATACACATAAGAAAACAATACATACGGCGAAATGCAAATTATCACAACTTATCCGAGAGCTAAACATTGAATTCGAATAAAAAACAATCGCCTGATTTACAAGCACTGCGAAAACAAAACTTAAACGTCTAAGGTGGGGGAGTGGAAACCTTTGCCATGGGGCGCTGACCTGCACGCCGTCGCCGCTCCGACTGTCGTCGCCGATCCCCATCGCGCTCCAGTCCAACGGCGCAGTCATCGCGAGGGAGCCGCCGAGGTTGCCAGACAAGATGCTGTCCAATGTCGACGCGCCCTGAACTGCATCGCCCTCCGGCTTGAACGCGGGCGCTGCCATGGAGCCGCTCGCGTCGACGTCGAACCTGCTCGGCTCCATCCCGAACTGCGAGCCCGTTTCCCCCAACCACCTGTCGAACTGGCCGAGTGGGCGGCTCTCATCTAGCCCGCCCTCGCTCCTCGGGGCATCAATGTCCCGTCGCCTGGGCGTCAATGGCGAGCGCGCCCTAGCGGCGGGTGGCGACGTGGGGTGCTCGGCGCCTTGGTGGGAGGACTTCCCATCGACGTCGGCGCCCTTCCCCGCGCTCCCAAGGGCGGCCCCCCCCTCGGAATTCGGGTCTTCCAGGTCCATCGCGCCCGACCCGATGACCTCTGTCAAGGCATGCTTGATCGTGGCCTGCAGGCAGCCACCCAACGGTCTCGCAGTCAGACGACTCAAGGGCGGCGGCGCCCCGGACCTGGCCGCCATCAACTTCGAGAAGGAGACCTGCTGCGCGCGATAGGCGACGCCGCTTGCTTCGGCGCTACACGTCGCCGAAGGCCCTGTCGCCGCTGAAGATGGCGCCGCATCCGCGCGCCGTCGGGGCCCCCCTGGAGCGGGTTCGCCTGAGTCCACCTCCTGGGGCAGAAGCGCCAACTTCGCCATCGCCTTCTCGCCCCAGGACGTCGCGACCTTGATGGCCCTATTGACCAGGCTGTCGACTGCGGCATCGCACTCGATGCGATAGGCGGCCTTGCGTTCTACAAACGCCGCGGCGCGCTCCTCAACGCCGCCGGGTCGCTGGGCCGATGGGGCGGCGAGTCTGGCAGGCAGAACGGCTGGCGTCTCATCCTCGCCCGCTGGGGGCGGTCTGACCCCGTCGCCGCTCTGGTCGTCGCCGCCGCCCGCGCTCGCCTGCTGGGCCGCGCTCTGTCTGCGATCCCTAGCGACTAGCGGGCGAGCCGCAGCCTGAGCCTTGCTGCAAGTGGCCGCTGCGGGCCCCGACGCCTGGCGCGCCCCTCTGCCAGTGCGCTTATCCTGGGACGGCTTGGCACGCTTGGCTGGTGGATCTGGCCCGGTCGCCTCGTCGCCATCTGGCGCCCCGGCATCGGCGTCGGCCGCCTGTGCATCCGGCGGGGGCATGCGGGATAAGATGGAATGCGCGTTGAAGCGATCGCAGCAAACAGTTCCCAACGCCAAAACCTTGAGCCAAAATGCCACGTGCGGACCGACGCTGGCCCTGGACAGGACGCGGGTTGGGCAGCGGCCGAAGCCAACCAGGATACCCACCAGCCCTTTAAGGCGCGAGTTCTTGAGTGAGGTAGGGGCCCCCTGGCCTAGACGGACGAGGTCGCGAAACTCCAGAGCGCCCCAGATTGCGCGTGATCCAGGGCGGCCCCAGGAAGGCCTTGGACCCCTGCATGACACAAGGTGGCCTCCAAGATGGTTCAATATACCGCACTATCGTTCATGATGGCTTCCAACCCCCGAAGCCCCGGCGCCGCTGCTGGACAGGCCGAGGCGGCCGCGTAGCCTCGCAAGGAGGCCCCAACGAAGCCGACATATTCCAAGAACATCGCGGATATCACTGACGTTCGCCTTCTTCGCCCGCTCGCTTCGGATGGGCCTCTGAAGCCTCAAGATGGCTCCAGAATGGCCCGCCCGCGGCCCATGGCCCACGGGGGCCCCCGGATAAGCCAAATATGGACCAAGACGGCCCCACGAGCGCCCGACAACGCCTAGAGAGCGGCGCGCGTGGGCCCCGAGAGACGACGCTAGGGGCTCACGAGAGGTAACGTAGAATGGGGACCCCCCCTCTTTGATCGACGTCCTCCAATATGGCCCAACGAGGGCACCCACGGTCCCGCGGCCCTCGAGAGGGCCGCAGGAAAGCCCCAGGATGCGCCTGAGAAAGCCATCCAGGGCATCCAAAACCCTTGCATGTTTGATGGCCGCGCTAGCGTAACGCGGCCATCAACAAGACTTTGATTGGGAGCCCCCAAGAGGCCCCCGAGCAGCGCCCACGCGGCCCCCAGAAGTCCCAAGAGGCCCCCAGAGGCACCCAGGACGGCCCAAGGCCCCCTAAAGCGCCAGAAATCCCCCAAGACGCCCAACGAAGTCTTCAGGAAGCGCCCAGGAAAGATCCCAAAAGACTCCGAGAGGTATCCAAGATGCTTCTAGCCCTTATGCTGTCCCTCCTCCTCATCTCCCCCACCATCATCCGCGCGTCCATCTCCCTCCCCCCTCATCCGTCATCCTCCCACTTCGAACGAAAAGGGCAGCCCCCTCTTTGCTCCTACACGCCCCTGATCACCTCAACTTGGCACCGTTTCTGGATGGGCCGGCAGGGTCCGCGAAGGGTCAAGAAGCGACCCGCGCCCGAGGAGATGCGAGGAGGGCCGCGAGCGGGCCCGCGGGGGCCCAGGACACCCTCGAGAAAGGACCCCCCGAGGCGAGACGGCCATCCACGGACCGCGCGCGGACGCGGCCCGCGGGGATGCAAGACTCCACGTCCAAGCTGCCCCAGGCTTACCCCTTTTCCAAAATGGCGGTGGAATCGAAGACAACTGGGGGGGGTGCACGATTCTGTTTTTTTTGTTTTTTGTTCTGTTTGTCCTGTGTGTCTGCGGCGATGAGGCTGCGTTCTTATGCGTTTCTGCTGGACTTGCATAGTTGGTGATTGACGAAAACGCAACCATGCAATCCTCATAAAAAAGCATCGTCGCATGCCCCTGGCAACGCTCGCCGAGCTCGCGGCCGCCCGCCATCGAATGGCGGGCGGGACCTCACTCAAAGTCAGGTAACCCGCACTGGCTCGTCAAAACAACCTGGAGAGTGGCACGGCCTCTCCAAGTCCAGCAACGCACGGAAAACTGCCGCGCGATCTGTGAGCCATTTCCGCCCGTCGGACCGCGGGCGCAAGCTTGCCGCAGACATCAGCGCACCTTTGACTGCGGCATGCTTCGGCTTTGTGTCGCAATCGGCGCGCAAATGGGGGTGCTGTAGCCAGGCAACTAGGTAGCCCAGAGGCTTCTTACTCAATGCTTTTGTTGCACCTGCAACTCGGGCCATGCTTAGAACAATGGGCACCTAACGAACCGCTGCTCGCATCCAGAACGATGAAGCCGTAGTGCCCTATCTGCCAACGGGCCCAAGGCAGTCCGCCGGCAGGGCCGCCAGCTGGGGGAGCTGGAGGTGGCGGATCCCCATCTCCGTCTGGGGCGGGAACGCCGCCTGGCCCTGCTCCGCTGCCCGGGCCTGGCGCGCCGCCTGGCCCTGCCCCGCCGCCGCTGTCTCCACTATCGCTGCGGCCCTCTCCTCCGCCGCCCGAGTCTCCCCCAGTCGAGTCGCCCGACTCGCCGCGCTCGCGCGCGGCGGGGCCCGCTGGCTTCATGAAGCGAACGCCTGCACCGCGACGTCGGTCTGCCTTCGGCAGTTCGCACGCCGACTTCAGGCCAGCCCGCATCTGCTTCCTCACGGCAGCTCCATCGGCATCGCGAGCGACAGGCGCCGGCGGGAAAAGCTTGACCTCCCAGAAGCCAGAAGGCACCCCAGAAAGAAAGGGCAGCGACGCGAGCGGCGATTCGATTCGAAGATAACACGGGGGTGCAAGGGCGGAGAGGGGAATGGAGGGCGGGGGGGGGGGGGCGAGGCGGAGGAGGGGGAAGCGGAGGAGGAAGGAGGGGAAGGAGGACGAGGAGGAAGAGGAGGAGGAGGATGGGGCGCTGATCGTTCGCATTGCCGCAAGCGTCGCTATCCTTCCCTTCCCGTGCCCAGACCTCCTCATGCTGCACTCGCGCTGGCCAGTCGCGGTGGAGTATCACCTGCGCCGCGGAGCGCTGCAGCGGCGCCCCCTGGTCCGTCGGGGCGCGGCACCAATAGACCTCCATGTCACGGTCTGGCGGGGCCTGCTTGAAGAAACACCCGATGAACGTGACGCCCGGGACGAACTCGAAGCAGCGGCCCTCGTTCTGCTCGATGGTCAGCGCCAGGGTCTCCTCGCACAGGGCGCACGCAGCTAACATGACGATGCGAGGCGAAGCCCCCCGCTGATGCGCAACAGCCGCCCAGGAACAACGATGCCAATCAGGGCCAGCACAGAAACGCAAATGGACGAAGCGCCCCACGAGGTCCCCGGCGACCTTGAACAGCACGTTGGAGCACGACTTCACGACATCAGCACACTGCGCATCATCCGTCACGCAGAAACCTGGGTGCAATAGCGGACAGGGCAACTTGACCGTGAAAACTTTATCGCCAGTGTCGTTGCAATCCTCGACGAACAATGCCTGGCGCTGGGCATCCCGGAACTGCTCGACGTATCTCGTGAAGCCTCGGGCCTTGTCATCGTCGGCTAAGTCGAGCTTCCTGCGGATGCGCGCGTTGAAGGCAGCAGCAGCGTAGGGGGTGCGCACATCTCCGATCGAACCTATGATGGATGCAATTGCGCCCTCTGGCCCAAGCGCCCGGGCGGGCGTCATCCTCTCACCAGCGTCCGCCATCTTGGCGTCGTAAGCTGCTCGGGCCTCGCCTTCCTCGATTGCCACCTCCTGCGCCGACAGCTGGAAGAACTCGTCTCTCTTTTGCCTCTGCCACGCGCGATAGGCCTCCTCATCGAGCTTGAGCTTCCTTGCCTTTCGCTCGCCCTCCTGCTTGCCCATCCAGTGCACGAACGAACTCATTGGCTTGGAAGACTTCTTAGCGGGCCTGCATCTGAGATGGACTCCGTCTTCCAAGAGTTGTTCCCTGGTGGCAGCGCGGGGGTCGTCACCGCCCCGCGCGACGTGTGCTGTCATGATCTGGGACATGAAGCCGCTGCTGCAGATTCTCTCGACATCCATGTCGGCGTCGGAGTAGCCGACAGACTGCCTTACTTTAGCCAGTAAGCGCTCGCTGAACATGTCGGTAAATTTGTAGTGGATGGTCCAAGCGCGAAGCGCATGCCTGAGGTCCTCCGAGCCCAGCATGGCGTCGACGCTGCCGAGCGAGTTGTAGAGTTTCTCTGAGAAGCCGCTATCGAGACAACATGGCTTCAAAGAGAAGAAGTGCCGGGGGACGTCCTCTCGGGCTTCGGGATCCACGGCCGGGTGGGCCCAGCGCGCAAAGATATAGGGGTAGGTGTCGCACTTCATGAACCGCCACGTAGCCTGGGAGACAAGAGGAGGAGGGGGAAGAGGAGGGGGGGGGGGGGGGCGGAGGAGGAGCAGGAGGAGGGAGGAGGAGGAGCAGGAGGAGGGGGGGGGGGGGGAGGACGAGGACATGGAGGGGGCGGGGGAGGAGGGGCGTGGCGAGGGGGGGGGGGAGGGGGAAGGGGGGGGGGGGGGCGAGGGGGGGGAGGGGGCGAGACGGGGGGAGGGAGAGAAGGGGCACCTCCCCCCCCGGAGCCGCCAAGTCGGGCTGCCGTCTACGAGACCTATGTTGCTTCACATCACCAATTTGGCCCCTGCTGACTTTTTTTCAAAATAATATATTGGGATGAAACGCTGCCGCTGGATATATCGATCACAATTGATCACAACACAAACGCTCCTGCGAACCCCCGCCAAAATGGCAAGAAATGGTAAGCTCAGATCCGCATGGCTACATTGCAACCGAACCGCTTGACCACCATCTCGACCGAACTGGCGGAATTCGACTACGCGTCCGACAAAATGCGTTCGACGAGGGATGCGCTGCACAATGCCCCGGCCACGGGCAGCGCTACGAGGGAAAGCGGGCCCTTCGATATGTCACTTTCAGCGCCCGTGAAAGTGACACCTCCCAGGGCCCACTTAAAGAGCGCCAGAGAGGCTCCAAGAAGGCCCCGAGAAGGCCCCAGGGCGACACCAAGAGGGCTCCCAGAGGGGCCCAAGAGAGGCCCCAAGAAGGGCCCAAGAGGGCCCTCCGCGGTGTCACTTTCAACGCCCGTGAAAATGACACCTCCCAGGGCCCACTTAGGGCCTCAGAAAAGCTCTAAGAAGGCCCCGAAAGGGCCACAGAGAGCCGCCCTGGGTTCAACTCCGCGTGGCGGAGTTGGAAGCGATAACTTCAATACCCTACTGGAGGCCTCTTAGGGGCCCCAAGACGGCACTGAAGAACCCCATCGGGGCTTTTTCAAAGGCAGAGGAGGGCGCAAAAGGGGCCTCAGTGAGCCCCTGGTCTAA